GGCACAAATAGTCCAACCATGAATTGTACATACTGAATAGAAACAAGCATTAAACGTCTTTCTACAGCTGAAACAAAAATTAGAGTATAATTTTAAATAAATAATATCAAGACACCAATTATCTTATAGTTGACTGATAAAAATCCGTTGGCATATGCATACAACAATGACCTACTTTCGCCGGAAATGACGGTTAATGCGCCACTAAGTTTGTTTTCACATTTCTATAACTTTTCAAATACATCGAATACAATACACAAAAAATAACACTATTTTCAACAGTCTACATTTTCTTACATTGATGGGATAAGTGAAATAATACGACCATTTAAGCTCTCACCAGGACGCTTACTTATTACGTTACTTGATATTAATTTTATTAGTTCAAAATACATGTTTAGTTATTTTTGTACTGGAATCCAGTTTCTATTTATGTTTTCTATTTTACTGTATAGATCACGACACCCTATTGTAACAAGGTTTAACCTATCTATTACTTTACATCTATCCAATGTTCTCTTTTGTCATATTTTCAACATATTGTATCTCCAAAATTATGTTTTGTAGTTAGTTACCAGAATATTCTATGAAAAACTGCTGGTATCACGAACTTTTTGCAAGCGCTTTTATTGATGATTATAGACTCCAGAAATAGTGTGATTTCATTAGCAGACATCTGGTGAGCTTCAAACTGCAAACTGGAAAAAAAGAAACGAGAGAATAACAAGTCACGTTTGGAAAATAAGGAAGAAATATTATTTCAATTTGGAAAAACGACTATTCAAACAACAATTTCATAACATTTCCTTAAGATAAATGCGTTTACCTTTTTAGATATGATCCAATTGCTGATATTTTGAAATAGTCTAAGTTAGGGCTGCATTGCGACCCCTTAGCTTCTTAGTTATTTATCAACATAGCATTTAAATACAGCCCCACATACATGTTATCATTACAGATTGCGCTACCACAATCTTCGGATCCACATCGTAGTAAAAATGGTCGGAATTTGGTTTCTCCTCGCAGCAGTCTTCCAGGTCCAGGTTAGTGTACGATATATATTATGTTTATCAAAACGATATTCTGTGTCTTCTCTTCTCTGTGAAAACTGAGTAGAGCTGTTGTACATTACAACACAGTCCTGGACTAATGATACTTTTGTTAACTTTCCTAAATATGTTCTCTTTGTTTATCAACGTTGAACATCCAATGTGTATTACAATGTTGCAACATGGTGTTTATAAGTGTTTAAACTAATTTGACTGCAATCCACCATTAACTAAAACACTAATTAGACCGCTAAGCATAAATTGAAAAATAAATCACGTGGTGTTCATCAGTTGAAGTGACGGCATATAAGCGATGCTCTGTACATTTAGGTG